TAAAAACTAAACTTTTCATAATTTTTAAAAATATTTTTACAGATATAGCTCAAAATACGGGGGTCACAGCGTGACATTGATTTGTCACGCCGTGACGCTCTTAAATGTGTAATAACTTGTAAAATAGAAAGTAAAAAATAAATAAAAAATTATCCTAAAGAACATATATTTTTTTACCAAAATAATATAAGTTTTAAATATTTTTTATAAACATAGATATTATAAAATTGTATTTACTCGATACAAGCAAAACATTAAGGCGCATGGAATTGCTCTATTGTAACAAATCTGAACCAAAACTCGTTAAAAAATTTTTTTACCCGTTTTTACTGGTTTAAAAATTATTTTATGTAAAAAAATTTAACTTTATTATGAATTATATAAATTTTTTTGTCTTATATATTTAAAAATAAGATAAAAATTTAAAAAATAATAAACTTTACTTAATATTTATATTTACATCATTAAAAGTTAAATTACATCAGTTGCGTATTTTAAAGTATTTACTTTTAAAGTACGATTTAAAACCACGTTAAAAATCATTTAAAAACTTAGTATCTTTAAATTAAACAATATTGTTATAAAAATAATTATCAATAAAATGTAAAATAAAGTTACCAATAAAGTTCACTACAGAAAAAAACACATACTTTTAGTCTCTGTGTTTATTACACAGAGCTAAAAGTTCAAAAAGTTCATATTAGGAGGTAATCCACTTGTATTCAGGGTGGTAGCCCTCCTTTCAAAGACCAACTCATCATTGAAGGTGAGTTTTTTTCCAATAACATGGACTTTCTTCCTGAAAAAAATTGGCCCAAGGAAACCCAAGTGAACTGTCTAATCAACTGCGTACTTGGTGTGGAAAACTATCATCATTGGTTTCAATTCTTCAAGATGTTCTTTCTGATGTTTCTCATTTAAGTAATTTGAATGCAAACCAGACAAGCTAAATGATTTCCTATCCTCCTCTTATATTAATAGAATTTAATAGTCATTGAAACCACCAGACTGAAAAAAGCTAGAGATTTTAAAAAAGTGATTGGTTATAATAGAATATATGCGAGAGGTGACCAAACCAAAAATGAGAGAATTGCATCTTCTAAACTCCATGCTGAGTGTAGAGCCAACAATTAAAAGTTGACTGAGGAAGTAGAAGGTATTAAAGGGAGGTTTCGATATGGCATTAGATATAGTAAAAAAGGTTTCTAGGCAGTCTGTTTTGGGGTAATTTGCTGGACAGATAGAAAGAAAGTCTAAACCCAATTATAAAATGTCTACGCTGTGTCATAGATCCACTTTTTTCACACTCCTCTTTCATTACTATTTCAGATCTTAAATGCTTTGATACGAAGGCTACATCTTTGGAAAACAAATATATATATATATATATATATATATATATATATATATATATATATATATATATATATATATATATATATATATATATAAATATATATATATATATATATATATATATATATATATATACATATATATCAAATAACTATAAATAGTATATATGATATTAATTAAATGCTTTACTTATGTTTTTATATTATTTAAATGTGTTTCAATAATATAAAAACATAAGTAAAGATCAAAGTTGTTTAATTCAAACAGCTTTCAAAAAAGTTTGTCTTTTCATTCTTCTCAACAAAACTTTTTTCTTTTCGAGTGTATTAACATTAATCATTCTTTCATAAAGTTTATTAAAGACAATCTTTTTTTAAAATAGTTGTTTATAAAATTTTTTTTTTTTTTTATTATATAAGAATTTTTTAAAAAAAAAATTTTATATAATTTTTTTATTTTTTTATATAATTATAATTATTTTATATAACTTTCATTGATACTTTAAAATGCGGTAGTGGTGTAGTGGTAGAGCGCTTGCTTCATAATCGAGTGGTTCCGAGTTCGATCCCCACCATGTTCCTGGTAGTACCGCGCTCAACTCGTTTCTCCGCGCAGCAGCCTTGTTCGTCAAGGTTCGTGTTTAGAGTTATAGAGTTGAGAGAGGGTTATAGCCACAAATAAGTAGCCTCCTTGTCTGTAGTGGCCTTCTCGGCCTTGAGGAGGTGAATTAAAAAAAAAAAATAAAAAAAAATAAAAATCATTAGTTGCTTCATTTAAAAGCGTTTTGCTAATATAAAAATATTAGTAAAGATAAACATGTCAAAGTTATTTATTTTTAACGTAATTAAAAAGCATTTATTTCAGTGCATTTTCAAAAAGTTAAAAACTGTGGTCAAATCGTCAAAACAAAGTAATATTTGAGTGGTTATATTATGGTGTGAAATCACATGGGTTTGTAAAATTAAAGTTATGTGCAACTAATCTTCTAGAGGTGCTAGATATTATTACTGAAGTGCTTAGTGATGGATTTTTTTATTACTGAAGCGCTTAGTGATGGACAAGTTGGTTCTCTCATATTTTGCCAAGGCATTTGATAGTGTCTCACCACATGTATTAACTCAGATTAGCCGGTTATAGTTTTTGTAATAAAATAATATTTTGGTTAAAAGACTTTCTCAGCAACAGGAACCAGAGTGTTGTTTTGCGTGAAGTTTGTTCAGATTGGATGTGTTAATTGATGTGCCCCAAGGCTCTGTCATTGGACAACTTTTGTTTCTTATTTTTATCAATGAAATGCCAGAACTTGTCAGAAGTTATTGTAAATTGATTGCTGATGATAGTCAACTAATTTCCAAATTAAAAAGTGTTCGTGATATTACTTATAACCAGACTGTCATGGATTCTTTATATGAGTGGTCTAGACTGTGGCATATGGATTTCACCATCAGCAAGTGTAAAGTTTTAAAGTTTCATGGCAGATCATTGTATCTCAATAACTCTATTTACATGATGGATGATGCTGGAAATTGGATTTAATTAAAGAATGTCTGCATTGAAAGAACACTTCAAATTTATATAAACAACAAGGTCAAATGGACTGACCAAATAAATCAAGCAATACTAAAAGGTAATAAACTATTTTCATATAGTTAAGTAGCAAAATCCTACTCTCAGCCCATTAACAAAGCTGATTGGAACAGTCTACCAGATTTTGTTAATGCTTCTGAGTCGATTAACCAATTCAAAATTAACTATTACAAATGGTTTAGTTCATATGTTTGTCGGTCTACTATAGCTGAGTCTTGATAAATTCCTAGCTCATAGAAGTTTCAAACTTCTATTGTAGAATAGTATTAAATTAAAATATAAAATAAAAATTTAATAAAATTTCAAAAATAAATATATTTCCTTATTTAAAAAAATTTACAATTTATTTCTAACAATATTCATAACAACATTATTGCCTTATGTTTATTTTCTTGCAGTTCAGTAATTATTTTTATTTTTTTATTAAGGGGGAAATTGTTTATCAACTATAAAATAAACTTTTTCTTATAACAATTATAAACAAAATTCGATCAAGTTTATCAATAAGACATTTGTCTGACTAGGTTACTTTGTATCAACATTGTTCTAAAGTATGGTTAAACCTTTTTTCATTAAAACCTTTGCTCAGAAATATAAAAATTTACCAATGCGGTTGCTTAGCAATTGAGATTGCTTTAAATTATATACTTTCAAGATTGCTAAATAACTTGAACCCATCACATTTTGCAATCACTTAATTCGCCCCTTCAACATATATTTTTAATTTCATACTATTGTACTGCCTTTTTAGTGGTTTAAAAATATAAAGGTTTTCTATGTAAAATTCACATGACATAATGCTTCTTAACAAGACCTGTGTTACTTTCTGTGTTTCTTTCAATGATAGCGCATGCATTTAAGTTCTTTTGAGAATGGTTTAACACAAAATAGTGTCATGGGCCTCATATGAAGCTACTTGTTTTATACAAATCAATCAGACTTATTTAATAATGGCATGAAGCAATGGTCAAAAGAAATTTTCAAAGCAAAACTCACAATTTAACATCTGTCAGAGCCGCTTCTTGTACACAAGAAACCCTTAATAATTTTTTTGAAGTTGTCACAAACAATATAAACCCAATGGTAAAACTTCTTTCATATTAGGAATTGCAATGAAAATAGTTTCTGTGTTAAATACTAAATAACTGCTGTGAGTTGAAAAGGGGCAAGATATATTTTGAAACTCCCTGTTAAAAATGCAAAAATCTATTGTGCAGTGAACAATTGCTGCAATACTAATGGATACACCTCCATTTATGGTATACAAAGCAAAATGAAAGTTATGAGCTGAGTGGGCCTTAAGTGATCTGACTGGCATCATATTACTGATTCTAGTTTGAGTATAATACATTTATTGAATGGTTGAAAGCAATATTTATACCAGAATGCCAAACTATTAGTGGTATTCATATTTTATATCTAGATAGACATTTGTCTCACGTCAGTTAGGCAGATGCTTTGGTTTGTCATAAAAATAATATAATCTTGATATGTCTACCAGGTCATTCATCTCATATTCTATAGCCATTGAACAGAAAGCCACTTGTGTAAATTGTCATGTTAAACAAGTGTAGAAGGCAGTTCTTACTAATTATTACAAAGATACAAAATGCAACATTTAATCGACCAACACCTTCAAGCAGTTTTACTCTTTTATTAAATAAAAAATAGTTGTACTGTTGTAACAGAATTAGACATTGGGCATTGTCACTTAATTTTTGCAGAAAATATTGCATTTATATTTTGTGTGTTTGTGGCAACAATACACATATAACATATACATAGAGTATTATAAAGATTGCAAAAACATATACATAGAGTATAAAGATAAAGGTTTTTGTAGTATAAGATTTTTTGATTTTGAAATGATTTTTATTTGAATCTGGCATAAATTTAATGTAATTAGGCATGATTAGAAATGTTTTAGATTTCTAATCCTTTATATTTTATTTATATTTTATACTTATTTAGATACTAATCCTATTCTGTCTTATCTTTTTTTTCTGTCTTTTCTACTAATGGTAACATTATATTATAATCTAAAATTCTTTGTTAAGATATTGATGAATGTAGTAATGGGGAACACAACTGTGACAAGAAAACTACTACATGCAAAAATATTGCTGGTAGTTATGACTGTAGTTGTAATAGTGGATACGAAAGATACAATAAAACAGTATGTACTGGTAAGATACTAAACTTAATTTTTAATCTGTTTTAATTGTGAATATTTTTTAGATATAAAAATGATTGTTGTATTTTTTTGCATTTCTTTTAATTATTTTTATTCTAAAAGAAACTATGCGATTTACGAGGGAAAGGAGGGTAAGTTTGTGCACCTAATGAGATTTTATTCATAAAAAGAGTAATTAAAATGATAGACAGTTGAAAAGCTTGAAAATATAAATTTTATAAAAAATTAGAATTGCGCACTTTTAACCGATCATGAGGGTAAGAGTCTGCATATGAGAGGGTAAGAGTGTGCACTAACAATTATTGCAAATAAATAGCCCAGTTCTTTCATAACTAGTGCATTCTTCATGTCACCAATTCTTGCAAAGTCTGCATTGAATCCATTCTTCATCCATTTGCCCTGCTTCTTCACAAGCTGGACAAATCCTTTCTTCATTTTCATCATTTTTAATATCTGTAACATTTTTAATGTTTTTGCCTTTTTTAACCATTTTAGCTTTTGTAATGTTTTTAAAAAATGATTTTGTTTTTAAAAAATTTTATTCTTTTTTTAGCTTGGCTTTAGCCTTTTTTGGTTCTTGACTCGTATTTTCTATGGACATGACATTATGACTGTTGATTTTTAAGATGGTCTCTTCTTTTTAGTTTGCCTGTCCATTTTTATCCAAGAGGAACAATTGTATTAATATGAATTTTGTTATTGGAACATATGGGGATTGTTTTACTTGCAAGATATTTTCATACAACGAATTTTTATCCAAATCATTTTCATTCAATGAAATAATATCTATATATTATATATAATATATCCAATGCATTTATATAAAATATCTAATGCATTTTTATTTAATGTATTTTCATTTAATGCCATTTCTTCATTTAGAGTGCTAATTCCATTTCTTATGTACAAATTTCATCTGTATTTATATATCCTGTATCACTAATCAGAGCCAAACTTCCAGGAGGAGCATCTATGAACAAGAATGGGTTCTTCATTTTCCTAGGAAAAATCAATGCAGGTGGGACAAAAATCCCAATAGCATTCATGCAACAAACTGCAATAACAACTTGTCCTCTCTCTGTACTAAAAGTCTTGCAGGAACTTACCACAGGGACTTACAATCTTGGGCGTTTTATTTGGAACAGTCGTAACACCTGTTTTGTCCATATTGAATTTTCTATGAACAGAAAACTTTTTTTCAATACAAACATTTTTTCTCAAATAATTTTGAGACTTGCTCTTTATTAAACCCCATTGCTCTTGCTAAAGGGAAAGACTGGCTAAAAGCCAGTCTTTTCCTGCCACTCTTTTCTCTTGATTGAATCTATTGGAGATACCATTCAGTTCAGCATATTCAAAAGCAATCCTTGTAATATGCTTCCATAAAACCTTCTATCAAGATCCTTACAGTGTTGAACTTCTTTTTCCATTCCATCACTGAAAGCATTTCTAAAACGTCCTAGAATTATTGCTATCGTACCCTGAAACAAACAAAAACAGTTAGATGTTATAAATATAACTTAAATAAATAAAGAATATTCCAAATTCCAGAAAACTTTAATTAACTTACAGTTTTAAACATTTTTTTCAAAGAACTATCACAAACACCCAAATCTTTGCCAACTTTTCTTTGACTTTCACCAGCATTTACCCTTTGTTTAGCTACTTCCATCATATCTGCTGTGATGAGAGTTCTATCAGTCATTCCTTAGTATAATGACATTTTAAAACATGTATGATGTAATTTTAAACTGTAATTAACTGTGAAAAAATACAAATTTAATTATTATAGAAACCATGCAACATCAAATTTTAAACTACATTATTTGAAAAGTAAATTTTTGTTGTACGAAATATTTGGTCGCTTTTGTAATGTGTGTTAAAAATTATTACCATATTGCAACACCTTACGCAAATTAAAATTCTAACAACTCAATATAATATTTATCATATTTCATAAACAATAAATGCGAATATTAACTAAACTCCTTTTCTTTAAATTTACATAGTAAAGTATAAAGATCACATCAAACACGGTTAGGTAAATAAATTAAACAACACACGTCCTTCTATTATTCAGATAGTCACACCGACACATGACAATGACACTTGCTTGCAGTGCCATCAATAGTTTTTACAAATGCGCATTCTAACATCTACAAGATGTTTTTTGAAATATTATATAAATATATGAATATTATAAATGTTATAGATATATAGCTGTAAATATTTTGCTTTTGCTTTGTAATATTTTATTTTTATTTCCAGACATAAACGAGTGTCTCACTGATAATGGACAATGTCAAGATAAATGTGTTAATACTGCTGGTTCTTATTACTGCACCTGTCCATCAGGTTTTAAACTTTCTAAAGACAAACATACGTGTGATGGTAATTTTTTTTTTTTTTTTAATTAAAAGTTTGACATTTTAAATTTGCTATGACCATTAGGGGAGATTTACCTTAGCAGAAACAGTACCTTAATTGGAATACTTGCATTTATTTTGACAAAAATGAATTATAAATATGTTTTTCATTTTTCTATGTTTCCACAGATTTTGAAAGTTATCCATCAAAAATTGCATTTGCACCAATTTAAGCTTTTTTGCATCATTTTTTATTTCTATGATTCAATTTCATGTTCACACTTTATTGATTGCAAACTATACTGCTTTTGGTTATACCATTTTTGTGTTGAATGCGATGGGATTTAAAATGAAATTAACAAAATAAACATCTTATAAGTTAACTATAAAGTTTTTCTTACTTAATAAAACTAACTTAACTTGATAAAATTAAAGGGTTGAAGAAATAGTTCAGACGCAATTTAAAAATGCTTAGTAACAACCCTATATCTCAAAAATGATACAATGTTTATTGCTTTTTAATCAATAAATTCAAATCATAATAGTTGAAGCCTTAATACAATTTTTTGTAAGTAATTTCAGTTTTCTAGGGTAATGTTAATTTCTTTTTGCTGATTCTACTGGGTATTAAAAGAAACAACCTGTTCCGATTAAGGAATCAAAGTGTTCCAATTTAGGAAACCAATTGCCTTGATTGGAACAAAATAGTATCTTTGCAAAAATGAATTTATTTTCAATAACAGTGCAATCAATAAGGTCAAGTTATGGTTAAAAGTATAGTAGAGTTATCTGTTTGTATTAATCAAATAATAAATGTTTTCATAGTTAGGCCATCTTTGGTTAATAAATATTTATTTCTTAAGTGTTTCAATTAATGCATCTCTCCTATACATAAACTTGATTATCTTTTTAGTAACAGTTAAGTTTATATTAAAATTTAAAAACTATCAAGGCAAATGTTATGTATGGTAGTTATTGTTGTAAGTGCTATAGAATCTATATAAAATGATGAATTTAACTATTCTGGAAGACAGATGGAAAAGAGGCAGTCTTATTCAACAATATAAGTTTCTCAACAATTTAAACCTATAGACTGGTATGTAAAGTCTTTCAGCATAGCACTCAACATCGAATTAGATTTCATTGCGAGATTGTCAAAACAAACCAAAATTTAATGACTGAAATACCTTGCTAGATAATGTTATCGAACAGTTGATCAATTTAAATAGCTAATGAACAATTTTCAATCATTGTAGTTACTACAGCTCATCATTAATCGTGAATGCCATACAAAAGTGGCTGGTATAAAAGTTGGATATAGATGCATATACTCAGCTGATAATGAGTTTAAGCTTAAATGAGTAAAGCTGTGGTTTTAAGTAACTTAATTAGCTAACTAATCTTGATCTTGTGTGGTGCTAGGTGTCAATAGTAATCAACACTTGGTGTCAGTGTCAGATTTCAATAGTAATCAAGTATAAAAAGTTATAATGTACATTTTGAATGAACATGAACATAAATATTGTTTTACACGTTTATTTTTTTAAACATCAAATCAAATACTAAACATAAAAGTTTTTTTTTTAAATTTTTTTCAAACTGCTTATATAAATTTTTTTTGTCAAAATTTTTTTTTTTTTTTTTCAAAATAAAAGTGAGTAAAATTACTAAATAAAATTACTTTTCATTACTAATCACAAAAAAAAAAAAAAAAAAGATTGAAAGGACTTTATACGTGTAATCTACACATATGGTTTTTATTTGTATTTTTTTATTTTTAAAATTTAAAGTTAGTAAAGTTAGTAAAAAATTTTTTATCACTAAAATGTCAACAAGATTCTTCACTTGATTAAATTAAAAAAATACTTCCATAAAAATAGTCTTTTTATATATATTATTTAGATATTGTGAATTCATTACAGCTCAGACAAAACAAGATAGTCTGGCCTACTGCTGCAATAACAAAAATGATTTATATATATATATATAAACAGAACTCAGTCGAAAAAGAGTGCTCAATATTAAAATGATATTTCCAATAGAGCGATATACATATATATATTAATGAAGAAAAAAACAACTTTTTCTATGGAACTTTAAGTTTCATGCCTATACAGCAAAATGTCCTCCTCATATAAAAAAAATGGCTATGTTTGAAAATGATTTAATTAATCTAGTTAAAAATATTAAATTTTGTTAAGTGAACAACAAGTTTCAAGAAAAGCTTTCTAGCGATATAAAATCTCTACACAAATTACATAAAACTTTTACTCAAGCTAACAAAACCACCTATATGTACAAAATTTCCAAAGAAGAGTATAACCACCTCCTTAAAAACGCCGTTACATCTGCATATAAAAAGGCTGACCAAAATCTTAAAGATCAAATAAATATTGAAAGTAAACACCTTATTAATCAATGGCTAAATATATTGGTATGGCTAAATATATGGCTAAATATATTGAATGGCTAAATATATTGGTTATAGATTGGTTTCAAAATATTAAAGTAAAACATCTATACAAGTTCTTAATTTTTAACTGATTTATATACTTCAATTAATGAAAATTTTGCCGAAAAATACTTAATTATAAAACAAGATGAAAAAAAGTTAATACATCATGCCCGGAAATCATTGTTATTTAACAATGGTAAAGCCTGGATTAAAAAAAGTGGAGGATTATTTGATGTCACCATGGGAGCCTTTGATGGCGCAGAAGTTTGTGAATTAGTTAGAATATTTATCTTGTTTTATTTATCATAGTCTTACTATAAATATGAATTCGGATTGTATAGAGATGATGGTCTTTAGCAGTGTTTAAGAACCAGAGTGACCAACAGATGGAAAAAATTAAAAAGCACTGTGAAAATTTTTAAAAATAATGATCTTCTTATTAGTGTTGCAAAGGTAAAATTTACCAGAAATTTTTCCGGTAAATTTACCGGAAAATTTTGAAAATTTACTGCCTGGTAAATTTTAAAATTTTTTTTTACTTATTTTTTATTTTTTTATTTTTTTTTAATTTTTTAAAGGAAAATTTACTGTTCTCTAATTAAAATTTACCGGTAAATTTTACCGGTAAATTTTGAATGAAATTTTACTGGAAAATTTACATCACTACTTCTTATATCTATCAGCTGTAATTTTAAAATTGTTAACTATCTGGACTTTATCTGGACTGGAAATTGTTAACTATCTGGACTTTATCTGGACTGGAAATTGTTAACTATCTGGACTTTATCTGGACTGGAAATTGTTAACTATCTGGACTTTATCTGGACTGGAAATTGTTAACTATCTGGACTTAACATTAAATCTTAATGAGAGTTTTTTCAAACCTTACTGCAAGCCTGGTATTTCCATCAGTTATATAATTACTAACTTTAACCACCCTCCTAGTATTCTAAAAAGCCTCCCTCAAACTATCGAACTAAGATTGCCAACCAATTCTTCTAATGAAAATATTTTTAAACAAACCATTCCTCTTATCAAGATGCATTATTTAAATCAGGTTATATCTGCAAATTCGCTTACCATTCAAAAAAAAAACTGATCTCATTCAAAAATCACAAGCAAAACATAATCTGGTACAACCCACCTTTCAGTGCCAATATTGCAACAAAAATAGGCAGTTGTTTTTTGAACATGGTAGACCTGCACTTCCTGGTTGGTCACAAGCTTCGTAAGATATTCAATCAAAATACTATTAAAATAAGCTACTCATGTATGCCAAACATCAAGTCCATCATTAATTCGCACAATCACAGGATATTATATAGCCAATGATATTATAAAGATGAAGGAAAAACGTGCAACTATGTCAACAAATCCATCTGCCCCATGAGCAATCAGTACTTGACAAAGAACATCCTTTATCGAGCCAATGTGTTAAATAAACCTGACTTCAAAGAAAAAGTATATTTTAACTTGTGAAACTCCATTCAATGTGAAACTCCATTCAAATCTTGGTATGCTAATCACCTAACATTAATAAATATAAAAATGATACCGAGTTGTCTAAAGAAATTTGGGACATAAAAGACAAAATGTGTACACCCTTAATAAAGTAGAAAATTGTAAAAAGTTGCAATCCTTATAATGCCTCGTCAAAAATTTGAAACCTTTGCTTATTTGAAAAATTCTTTATTTTGACATATAAACTTGTTAAATAAACGAAATGAGTTGATTTCAAAATGCAGGCACAAGAATAAATTTATCATATCTTTTTTTGACACCAGTGATTAGCTAATATTTTGTTTTTTCTTTGGTTGCCATCAAATATGTCTTTTTGATGTAAAGATCCCACTACATAGTATTTTTTAATTTTTAGCGGGTTTTTTTGTTTTTGATTTTGTATTCAATCGCTGATAATTGCCGTATAGGCATGAAACTTGAAGTTCCATTGAAAAAGTTGTTTTTTCTTTGTTAATATATATATATATATATATATATATATATATATATATATATATATATATATATATATATATATATATATATATATATATATATATATATATATTTAATTTTTAGCGGGTTTTTTTGTTTTTGATTTTGTATTCAATCGCTGATAATTGTTGATATATATATATATATATATATATATATATATATATATATATATATATATATATATATATATATATATATATATATATATAACAAAAAAAGATTTTTATTGAATAAAATTGATACAGAATTTCGACTGTAGTGGCCTTCTTTGTCTTAGGGAGGTGAACAACATAGTGTGTGTGTGTGTGTATATATATGTGTGTGTGTGTGTTTACATAGTGTGTGTGTGTGTGTGTGTGTGTGTGTATATATATATATATATATGTATATATATATATATGTATATATATGTATATATGTATATATGTATATGTATATATGTATATATGTATATATGTATATATGTATATATGTATATATATATATATATATATATATATATATATATATATATATATATATATATAAAACTTTAACCGGACCTAATCACTCTTTGATAAATAGATATAAAAGCAAAATATGCATGGCAACACATCAAACAATCTGGTTTTATGTGAGTGATTGCATAATTATCAACCAATAGAGAAATATCTTGTTTGCTTTATAAATTGTGTGTAATTCAATCATTATCTTAAAGTATACATATTTTAAATATTGCAGATTTGTTGTCTTCTATTTCAAGTACAATTTTAATGGAAAATGGTAAATCTAAATAAATGATTGCTGTATGTTTGAAGATGCCTAACACAACTTTTCATGGTAGTGCCTTAAGTCAACTGATTGTATCAATCCAGAAAAAAGCAAGTTAAAATATCATGTTCTCAGATGTAGTGCAAGTTAAGCAATTTATCACACAACCCCAATGTTACCACCAAACTCACACTTCAATATCTTGTATATTGCACTTTCTGTTAAACAATGTTCAACAATTATAATTTGGCATCAATCATTACCTAAGGTAGTGACACCTTTTACAACAAAGTGAAACTGTCAAACCGGCAAATTATTTGGAAATTTTGAAAAGAAATGTGATAAATTGACTTCAAATTAGATGATTTAATATTATTAATCTTGGTGGGACAACTTGCATCTTATCTGTGACACTAGCTTGTACCTAGTTTTTTTTTGTTCTTTTTTAAGCGGTTTAGACTGTGCTATGAGTTCTCTAAAACTTTATCTTGTATATCTTCTTCAGACTCTATCACATTTCATACTACTACCTAAAACCTGACTGAGATTCCTTTCCTGATTTTCTTTGCGCCTTGGGATGATGTCTTTTGTCTCTCCACTTATAATTGTGTGTTCTATAAAACTTCCTGGATTCAGGCATGTATGAAAGCTTTTATTCTTTTTTGTTGGTTTTAAGTCAAGTTTTGTTCTACCTCATGGTTTCCAGCTAGTGCAGCAGCTATTTCTAATTGTAATCTTTTTTTTTATCTTTTTCATATAAACCATCTTGAGAGCAAGCATCTTTTTATTATTGCAAGAAATAATGTAAAAAGTTGTTGTTTGTTGCTCCAATATTCTCAGTTTACTAAGTCTTGTATTTTATCTTAAAAAAAACAAAGCTGCAAGCAACTATTATTACAGTTTGAAGTTATTAGAAAAGAAAAGATGAAGTTTGTAATGCAAGATAATTATGAAAGATTGCAAATTATATGAATCAGGAAAACAAAATTAAAGTAAAGAACTCTGAAGAACTTTACAGTAAAATGATGAGATTTATTTTGGTGTAAACTAATAATATTGAGTTAAAAAAAGAATTTATTGCTTAAAAACGAAACAATAAAATGTACAATTCTCAAGTGAAGGTCAAATGTTTAGGAGAATGTAGAATAAGTAATGGATAATTTTTGATAATGTAAAGAAATTAGTGGATAATTTTTATTGTGCTACAGTTAATTATAAAAGCAACATTTTATTATTATAATGTAAGTAACATTTAATATAATGTAAGTAACATAACATAAACTGAACATTGAATGTTGAAAAATATTCTTATAATGTAAGTAACTGAACATTGAATGTTGAAAAATATTCTTATAATGTAAGTAACTGAACATTGAATGTTGAAAAATATTCTTATAATGTAAGTAACTGAACAATAGATGACATTGCAAAATAATAATAATATAATACAAATACTTTATTGAAATTACAATTAATATGTATATATAGTTTAATTTGAAATAAATATTTACCACTTTTACACTTATATTACAAGAATTAAAGTGTTTAACTTTTATTTTGAAAAACATGCGCATTACTGTAAACAAAAATATAAAAAAATGAGAAATTATGTTAGAGATGTTTAAATTAACATTAAATTTTTTTGTTTTGTTTTGTTCTTTTTTTGAAATTCCAAGTTTGGTAACTTGGAATTTCAATTAAAAAAACAAAACTTTAATTAGTCAACTTCTTCAATTAAAAAAACAAAACTTTTAGTCAACTTCTTTATTTTAAGGGAACTTTAACTATTTAAATTTTTTTTTATTTTGAAATGAATTGAAGGTAGTGATTAAAAAAATTTATTTTAAGGATAGAATTGTAAAACTTTTTAGAGCCAATCTATTGTTCCATCAACCAAAACTCAATCATTCAGCAAAGTTCCATACTTTTACTGTATCTGTCCCCATCATTCTCAAAAATTTTTACTTATCTAGTTTTTTTCTTTACTTTGAAATTTCATGTTTTTCTAACTCATACAATTTACAGTTTTCTTGTTTTTTCAACTGTTTTCTTGGTTTTTCAACTGTTTTCTTGCACTTAAAAAATATTCTTTGTTTTCTGGTAATACCAAACTTAAATAGTGGTTGCTAGCAGCCTTGTTGGAAGTAAATTAGTTGTATAAAAAAAACAACCTGTTTATATTCTTTTGTATAAATATTTATATATATATATTTATACTTTTATACTATTCATTTTTTAAAATATAAAAATTATTAATTAGTTAATTTAAAAATTTATGGATAATTTTAAAATATTTTAGTTATAATAAAAATTTCATGATATTTTAAATTGGAATAATAATTTGGTGTTTTTATTTCTAGATATAAATGAATGCTTAACTATTAATGGAAGGTGTCAAGGAAAATGTATAAATACTATTGGTTCATTTTTTTGCACCTGTGGACCAGGCTTTACACTTGCTGATGACAAAAGAAAGTGCAATGGTATTTTTAAAGTTTTATTTAAATTTGGTCAAAATTTTTTTATTTACTAACAACTAATCTAAACCTATTTAGAAAAATAAAAGGTTTTATGTGATTTATATATGAAATGTTTATAAAATCAAAATATTTTGTTAGCATCATATCAGTGCACTGATGCCAGTCACAAGCAACAAAAACAACAGTTCAAAACTATTAAATATAAATTAAATATTTACAATCTTATAAACCTAGCATTTACAACCTGTTCCATAATCCAGTTTTAGTTTTTCAATCAGCATCTACTGGCATTAAAAAATGTCTAGATTATTCAAATGTCTTGATTACTAGCAGTAATAATTTGGTTTGATTAGCATATATATATATATATATATATATATATATATATATATATATATATATATATATATATATATATATATATATATATATATATATATATATATATATATATATATATATATATATATTTTTTTTTTTTTTTTCAGTTCTAGGAACAATTTGTTTTATAAATTTTTGTTGACATGGTAAAAAATTGGTAAGATTTAGATTGGGTACATTATAAATATTCTAATGAATTGAAGTTCTGAATTTTTTTTTTATTTTATTAATATTTTGACCAGAATTTAAACTAAGCAGGACTGCTACAAAGATATAAACCTAAAATTTTTTTTTGTAACTAATTAAAAATTATGTGACTGTTGATTTTATATTTTGCATTACAATTTAAGCCAAAATCAGCACATGTTAAATATACTTGCCTCGTTGAGTCACAACACCTGGATGTTTAAAACATCGTCTGGATGGTGCATTATGTTTATGAATCAGAACTTTTTAACATTTGTTACAACAACTTTTATGCTGTTCTGAATAATAGTGTCCTTTGACTAAACAAATGACATAAAAAAGTGTCAATTACACAATTACACAAAAGACCATGACACATGTTTTTTTATACTGTAAAGATAATGAGCTTCACAAATTAAAAGTTTGAATTAGACTTCAATTATGTTTAATTTACAGCCTCTAGATTTCTGTTTTAGTAAACTCTAAAAAAGGTCGGCGCAAAATGAATAATTTAGTTCACCTCTGATAAAAGATTTTCAGAAACGTAACATTTAGTTTGATGCTGCATCCTTTAATCTCTGAATGAATACTAAATGTATCTTTTAAAGTTGTTTAAATATTTTACAAAAATGATATTGCTCATAATGAAACACTTGCTACATTTTTGGTCATGACTCATTTATTTATTCAATGTATTTTCAAGCATGTAAGGCTAATGTGTATTTTTTTGTAATGAAAGTTAAAATAAAAAACCATTGCAAAAGTTTATGGAAAATAAAATTCAGATAAATAAAAACACTGGAAACATCCAAATGATTTGGTTTTTGGGAATAATTGAGGCAAAAACAATGTTTATAATTATAAAGTAGGAACAATTTGTTCCTACTTTATAATTATAAACATTATTTTTTGAAAAAAAATAATGTTTGAAATTTAATAATGTTTGAAAATGCGGTAGTGGTGTAGTGGTAAAACACTCGCTTTATAAGCGAGAGGTTCCGAGTTCGATCCCCACCACGTCCCTGGTAGTACTGTGCTCAACTTGTTTCTCGCGCAGCGGCCTTGTTTGTCAAGGTTCGTGTTTCGGAGTTATAGAGTTGAGAGAGGGTTATAACCACTATTAAGTAGCCTCCTCTTCTGTAGTGGCCTTCTCGGCCTTGAGGAGGTAAATAACAAAAAAAAAAAAAAAGTAATAAGTATATTATAAATTCTGATTGTATTTTTTTTTTGTTGTTTTTTCTTGGGAAAAAAAAAATCAAGCTTTTTTTGAAAGCAAAAGCATTTTCTCAAAACTTGATATAGAATAATTTCATGATAAATTTGATACTTGATTATTGAATTATTAAGAGGGTGTTGTTAACTGCATTAATACACATTACCTAGATTGAGACCTAGTTTCATCCATTTTTGGACATTAAAGCAAAGTTTCTTGTGATACCATTTTTGCATAACTTGACAAAATTTAATCTCAAAATTCATTAAAGTTGATGAAAGTTATTTGATGCTGATGTAGTTGATGTTTAATGAAAGTTGATGTTTGATGCTGATGTAGTTGATGTTTGATGCTGATGCAGTTGATGTTTGATGCTGATGTAGTTGATGTTTGATGCTGATGCAGTTGATAGTTTGATGAAAGTTGATGTTTGATGCTGATGTAGTTGATGTTTGATGCTGATGTAGTTGATGTTTGATGCTGATGTAGTTGATGTTTGATGCTGATGCAGTTTATAGTTTGATGAAAGTTGATGTTTGATGCTGATGTAGTTGATGTTTGATGCTGATGCAGTTGATAGTTTGATGAAAGTTGATGTTTGATGCTGATGTAGTTGATGTTTGATGCTGACGCAGTTGATAGTTTGATAAAAGTTGATGTTTGGTGCTGATGTTGTTGATGTTTGATGCTGATGTTTGATGCTGATGCAGTTGATAGTTTGATGAAAGTTGATGTTTGATGCTGATGTAGTTGATGTTTGATGCTGATGTAGTTGATGTTTGATGCTGATGCAGTTGATAGTTTGATGAAAGTTGATGTTTGATGCTGATGTAGTTGATGTTTGATGCTGATGTAGTTGATGTTTGATGCTGATGTAGTTGATGTTTGATGCTGATGCAGTTGATAGTTTGATGAAAGTTGATGTTTGATGCTGATGTAGTTGATGTTTGATGCTGATGTAGTTGATGTTTGATGCTGATGCAGTTGATAGTTTGATGAAAGTTGATGTTTGGTGCTGATGTTGTTGATGTTTGATGCTGATGTAGTTGATGTTTGATGCTGATGCAGTTGATAGTTTGATGAAAGTTGATGTTTGATGTTGATGTAAAGTTGAAGACATTTAAAAAAAAATATGGAATGCGAAAATATGGAATGCGATACCAGCACTAAAGAAGAAAACTATGACATCAGTCAAGATTTTCACTTTTAATGTGTAATGAGAAGTTGGCAAATTAAAAAATTTATTTGACCATTTGGTTAAATTAGGTTATCAATAGAGATAATGCAGTAAATACAGAAATTAAATTAGAAAATATTGTCACCAATACACTAAAACTTTTTTGAAATTCAACAAAGTTAATGGTAGGATAGATGGATTCTTTTTTCCCAAAATTCCAGGGACTTTTATAAAAACTGTTGTTATATTTAATTTTGTGTAAAACAATGTTCAGTTTTTTAATTAGCATTATAAGACATAAATGAATTGTAATATTCTAATAATGGTGATATTAACTTATGACTTATTGATATTAACTTAAGTAATATTAACTTAATTTATTAATATATTCACTGATTATTAATAGCTTTCATTATAAGTTAGTCATTTACTATAAATTGCACTCTTTTAGGTAAAGTTTTATTTTAGAAAAAGCCTGATTTAACATTTTTTTCATCTATTGTCAAATTTTAGGAATTTCATTTTTTCAGTTAGTGGTTTAAAAAAAAAATTCAATTCATCAACTTTGGTTTTTCAATTAGTTAGGAGGTCTTCATAACAAAATAAATTTATCAGTCTTCGTTAATCATTAGGCCTGACTCCAGCTTTGTTTTGTCAAACTCAAATAAAGTTTGATAAAACAAAGATGAAATAAATTTTTTATTTAAAATATTAATGAAATAATGTTTTTTTAAGATATTGATGAATGTAGCAATGGAGAACACAAATGTAATGCAGCAACCACTACTTGCAAAAATATTCCTGGTAGCTATAATTGTAATTGTAACAGTGGGTATAAAAGATACAACAACATTTCATGTACTGGTAAGTAGCAATAAAACCAACAAAATTTATAAAATTTGGTTTGAGTATTTCAAACCATAAAAATTGATTTATTAAGTTTTTTATGTTTCATTTAATCAAAATTTTGCATTTCTTTAATTCAACAAAAAGATAAAATAGATAAGATAGATAAAAAGATAAGGTAGATAAGTTAGATAAAAAGATTAGATAGATAAGATATATAAGATAAAGAGATTTCTATCCATTGTATAAGTAGGAGTTGTTTAAACAAACTGATTGCTATTAAATCACAACTGTTTTTGTTTTTTGGAAAAAATCATTTATGGCATTTGTTAGAACATATTTTATGATTATGTTTTCATGACAATAAACTTAAAATAATCTATAAAAATAAATAAATCAAATACTAGGATGTGCAATTGATTAGGATGTCCAATTAATTAGAATGATACAACTAAATTGCGTTTATAAATATTTTAAATTTTAAACAAATGATTTCACACTTCTTTTATTTAATTTTTTTTTTTTATAATTTATAAAAAAAGAAAATTTTATAATAGTATGGTTATATAGCAAAATAAACAAAAATAAAAAAAATTAGATTTTTCAATTAGTGAGAAAAAAATTAGATTTTACAATTAATGAGGTTGAATAAAATTTAGAGTTTTTTGCTTGAACTACAAAGAAAGTATACCAATGTTGCATTTTTAATAATAGTTTATTTTATACTTAAATTTATTTTAAAATTTATTTTTTTCTTTTATTTTTTGATATTACAACACCAACACAAATCCATTATAACACAATCCATTATAATACCAACACAAATTCATAATAACACCAACAAAATCCATTATAACACTAATACAAATCCATTAAAACACCAACAATCCCTTATAACCTTAACACAATCCATTATAATACCAACACAAATCCATTATAATACCAACACAAATCCATTTTAACACCAACACAAGTCCATTATAACACCAACACAATCCCTTATAACCTTAA